GAAGATCTAGGGGGTTTTTGTCAGATTTTTTTCTTGAGTGCACTACAACCAAAGCTTTCTCCATTCAAACCACAAAGGATCATCCCAAGCCTATTTACCATTTAAAATCTACTCATAGCCTTGAAATAGGTTTTATGTGGTCAGTACTGCCAACCCTTGAAGTTCAAACTTTATGAGTCAGACTGAACAAATCATGAGATTGAATCAAAGGAAAAGATTAAATCATGCTTTTGCCCTGTCTCCTGATTTTTTAACTCCCCCAGCTAACCCACACTGCACATAATAAGATCTGAGCTAGCTCTTTGTCTCACTATCTTTGTTTCTTTCTTGTTCTCGTGTATGTGCACAATCACACAAAGAGGTTATTGGGCCTAACTTGTTTTGCTTCTCCAAACCAAGTGCCAACATGACATCTTGTGCCAAAAAGCCTGTAGAACTTTAGTTCCTCTACAGTTACTCAGATTTATATAATCCACAGTCTCTATGTGGGCGACCCAGACCTATATGCATGTGTGTATCAATAGCATGGGATGGCTGATAGAGATCTAGTTGTGGGATTGGTGGCGTGGCCCTGCCATTGGAAAGGGGTAACTCAATCAGGAACCTTGACTCTGGGTGTGCCCATCAGCTGCACACCAGCACTTGCAGCTTTCTTGCCCAGGATTATTAATTGTGTGCATTCTAGTGCTTTACCCTTTCACGGCTCCAGCTCCAAAGTGTCCCTCACACATCTGGGGTTTTTTTCACTTTTTTTTTTTTTTTTTTTTTTTTTTTCCCCCCCCACATCCCACTTGTATTAACTTTTTTTTTTTTTTCCCCTCAAATGCATTTTTACTGCTCTGGTGTCTGTGGGTGCTCTCTGGCTCATGCTGAGAAGGGTGCTGTTCTGCCTGTCCTGCAGGCTGATGGCTTCACGCTTACATAGTGTGTATGGCTGCTGTGCAGAGTTGAAGACATCTGCCTGAGGCCAGGCCTTCCTAAACTGGGATGAGATTGTCTCCTGTTCCACAAAAGGCAATGAAAACTTTTATCCAGAATAGTGTGGGAGGTTTACATAAGCAAAGTATCTGAAGTCATCCAGAACTGTTGCCTGACATGGCCTTTGAACAAAACAGGTTTACTGTAGCTGTGGATCTTTAAAGGCTTTTCTCTGTCCTCTTGGAATCAGCTGCTCTTCATTTTACAATTGATTTTGACCAAGTATTAGGTTTGATAGTGCTAGCAATAGTAGCATGAAACCCAGGGCATTTCAGTCTCATAGCCCAAATCATGGTCTGCCTTAGGCTTGTCTTCATGCGGTGATGCAGACTGTCCATTAAAATTCTAGGCTGAGGAGGAAGGAAAAATTTAAAACAAACAAACCAAAAAATCTAACTTCTTGTGTTTGTGGCTACACTAACATTTAGGAAGGCTGAGAATTTTGCATTTAACTTGATTGAAATAAAAATGGAAAAATTAGTCCTAGTTTGGTTTGGTTTCTTGAGCTATCAAACTGCTTGAGATTAATTCATCTTCCCATGCTATTTTCTGAAAAATAAATATAATCTGGTCTTAATTTCTGTTTAGTCAGATGTACTGACTTGTCTGTAATTGGAGGATGGATGTTCTCAGCCTTCAGGTCCCTTTCAAAGGAAGCATATCTAAGTTATTAGAGCACCAGAACAGGGGTGATGGATATGAAATCTGCTTTTATCTTTGCCACTGTTTTAAAATATTAACTTTTCTCCTTTCAGTCTCAGTATTGATTATCTTTTCTCACACTGTTAGTTATCTGCTGTTGATTTTCCACTTACAATATGCTCAGCCACACTTGTCCTCTCTTCCCAGTACGTTTTATAGGCCAGTGTTACAGACATTTTTCGTGTTTTACTGTAAATTTTTTGTATTTTTTCATTCTGGAGTTCATAGGCTTTGAGGATTCATAGTAGGCATGTGTGATTTAGAAGTGAATAGTGACAGAGTTTAGATGTTTGTGAGCTTTCTGAATGCCTTTGAAAGTCTTTTATGGAATGAAAATAACCCATGACCCAACATCTGCTTATATCCTTGTATTTTTAGTTTCTGAATAGAGTAAATAAATATTGTTCCTTCTGAGACAGCTTTTTATCAATAGATTTCAAACTCATTTAGTAACCAAACTGATATAATTAGTAATGTAATCTGTGAGAGAAATTTTATTTTCATATTGTGTTTGAGAAAATGGGCAGAGATATGAAGTAATTTGCCAGCATCTGGCACAAATCAGCTTATACTCAGGATTGAATACAGATGTGCCAAATGCCCCAGGCCTTTGTTTTAGTCATCAGGTTCCTCTTCCAACACTCAGAACTTCCAACATTTCTCTCTTGGCCTTTTTATGTTATACCAAGGAGGCCAGCATAATATATTGCAAAATCATTTCATCATTGTTATTTTATGTGCAAGTAATGAAAGTATTTCTGATACTCTGTAAACTTGTTGCTAGATCAGAACTACAAGTTGATTAAAATGCATTACTTGCAAACAGCACAGTAATGCTTTTAATGGCAGCCACTATTAATCTCTCTGGCTTTATTGGTATTTATCCCCATATGGTTACTTTCAAGTATCTGCCTGTAGAGTACAAACCTATTATAAAGCTTATGAAGCTTTGAATGGATCCCACCAGTCTAATGAGTCTTGGCTTTTATTAAACTAGCTAATTTCCAAGCAAACATGGTAATCACAGGGGAGTTCCTGGCACCCTCCTG